ACAGCAGTGAAATAGAAATAACAATAGGAAAGGTAATAATAATTACCACATTTATTGGCATAAGTAGTCTCCTTCCCATGCTTACCTTCCACCAACTAGTCCCCCCACACCAGTATTATTACTTTCTTGTGCATCCTGTCAAAGATATTTTATGCCTGATAAGCGAATATATAGATCTATTATAAATCAATTATCTCTTTCTCTTTAAATGATACCTTTACTATACAAACTGTTCTGTACCTTGTTTTAGTCGCTTAATATATTGTAGAGCTTTCTTTCTCTTCAGTAATATTTTGAGAGTTTATTCTTTGTAGTTGCCACATAGTATTACATTTAATGGAGTACCATAATTTATTTAACCAGTCTCTATTCCATTTCTTTGCTATTATATAAAGTGCAGCAATGAATAATTTTGTACCTATGTCATTTTGTACTTGTACGTAGTATCTATAGGATATGTTCCTAGAAGTGGAATTGCTAGGTCAGTGTATTCGCATTTGTAATTTTGATAGATATATCAATGCAGTACAATCATAATCACCTGGGGAAACCTTTACAGTGTTCTTATGTCTGTTCCCCCTCAAGATCTGGGGGGGTTTTTTTGTTTTGTTTTCTTATGGATCTGGGATGGGCTCAGGTATCTATATTTTTTAAAGTTCCTGGAGTGATTCTGATGATTATCCCAGAAGAAGAGAGGGGCTGGACCTTTGTGAAATGAAATGTGGTACAAAGAAGCATATCTAATTAAAAAAAAATTTTTATTGGAGTATAGTTGATTTACAATGTTGTGTTAGTTTCTGCTGTACAGCAAAGTGAATCAGTTATACATACACATATATCCACTCTTTTTTAGATTCTTTTCCCATATAGGTCATTACAGAGTATTGAGTAGAGTTCCCTGTGCCATACAGTAGATCCTTATTAGTTATCTATTTTATATATAGGAAGCATATCCAATTTTAAAACAAAAGAACATAGGCTAACTATAGGGCTCAGAAAGATACTATGCTGCCAATTTATGTAGAAGCATGCTGTTGGCTGCTTTAATCTGCATGTCCAGATTACTGCTGACTCCGGTATCTTCCCCTCCCATGATATTATGGGATATCCAAGCATCACAATATAAATATGTTGGTCTTGAAGGTACTGATTAAGGGATGCATTAGAAGCCATGATTATCAGAGTTGGATTGGGAAATGTTGGGTATGTCACTGAGGGAATAAGTATGTGAAATACAGGATCTTGTACAGCCTGTGGAAATTGAGAAGTCTGCATAGCACTTAACCTCTTCCCCTGGGTTAGGCTGAGCCAAGTAGGGAATATAATTTTTTAGAAATAACTTAAAACACACCAAAACATTGAAGGCTTATTCTTTTCTAGGTTCTGGGTGAGTAGCAGTAATACAGAAATAACAATCTCAGTAGTGATAGCTGCCAACACTTATTGGGTACTATGTACATACTGGGCATTATTGCTGATTAATACTTGCATTATTACAAGTACTTTCTCATTGAATCCTAACCCTAGAAACTGTGGGGACTATTGTATTTCCATTTTACAGTTGAGAAAAATGAGTTTCGGAGATGTTAAATAAGTAACTTGCTGAAGGTCACACATTTATCTATTTTATAGGATTGTTTAGAGGTTAACAAAGTGCTTAGAACAGTGCTTGGTACATAATAAATGCTCAGTACATACCAGCTGCTATTATTGTTATTACTAAAGCACAGAGTAAATACCAGTTATCCCTTGCTAGGGCATGCCTCACAGAAGAAAAATGTAAGTAGGGTTTTTCCAAGGAAAAACGGGTATTCCAGGTAGAAGACACTGTAGTAAAGGGATTGATTGGTGGCCAGGTTTAACGACTGCGTAGGGTGCTTGGTGGTAAAATGGTAGAAGAGGCTGAGATAAGAAAGAAGGCTTCATGGGGGTGAAGGGAAGCTATTGAGCTCTCTTGAAAGAATGGACATGGCTCATTTTAGTAGGCAGAGGGAGTTGGGAATATTTCAGGCAAAGATAAAGCATTTAAAAAGGCATAGAAGCTGTCAGTTTTGCAGTTACCTACTGCTGTGTAGTAAACTACCCCAAAACTTAGTGGCTTGAAACAATTACTGTTTTATTTGCTCACATTTCTGGTCTCACCTGGGACCATCATATGGCTGCAGTCATCTGGTGGCGCCACTGGGGCTAAATAGTCTCAGATGGCTTCTCTAATATGTCTGGCTTTGAATATGGCTGTTGGCTGGGTTTCTTCACATGACAGCAGAAGAGTCCCTAGAGAACAGTAGAAGCTGCAAGGGCTCTTGAGGACTAGGCATGGAAGTCACATAGTGTCATTTCCACCACATTGTGTTGGCCAAAACATGTCACAAAGCCAGCCTAGAGGCTTCCCTGGTGGCGCAGTGGTTGAGAATCTGCCTGCCGATGCAGGGGACATGGGTTCGAGCCCTGGTCTGGGAAGATCCCACATGCCACGGAGCAACTGGGCCCATGAGCCACAATTACTGAGCCTGCGCGTCTGGAGCCTGTGCTCTGCAACAAGAGAGGCCGCGATAGTGAGAGCCCCGTGCACCACGATGAAGAGTGGCCCCCGCTTGCCACAACTAGAGAAAGCCCTCCCACAGAAACGAAGACCCAACACAGCCATAAATTAATTAATTAATTTTAAAAAATAGCCAGCCTAGATGCAACAGGAGAAATAAATTCCATCTCTTGATGGAAGGACCTGCAAAGAATTTGTGACTTTTTTTTTTTTTTTTTTTTTTTTTTTTTTTTTTTTTTTTTTTGGTCCGGGGCCCTCTCACTGCCGCGGCCTCTCCCGTCGCGGAGCACAGGCTCCAGACGCGCAGGCCCAGCGGCCATGGCT